TTAAGAGAAAGAAGCAGAATAATCCCTTCAACTCTGGCACAAATTTTACAGTTGTTTACATTCCTGAAACTCCTGATGAACTCCTTCCAGGCTCAGCCAGCTGGAAAACTACAGACTTAGCTAGAGCATTACCCCTGTATCTTCAACCTCTGGAAGTTGATTGATACCAAGAAAACTCAAATAGTTTAACCCTTTTCTGGCTGCTAAGTCCTAAATGGCTGAATGTTCCAATCCACAACCTACTTCCAGAAAAGCAGTTTGAACCATGTTTCAACTCCTCCTAAAAACAAGTAGTTGGACCTGTGCCGTGTGCTCTTCTCACCGGAATCTGTAATGACCAAATTTCAAGTCCTTCTGTCCTATTTAAGCTTTTGCCTCCACCCAAGGTGAACATTATTCCAAACCAATCCAAACAATCAGAAAAGATTTTGCTGTTGTCACTGGAAGGAATGCGGCGGGGGGGAAGAATGTACACACAGACGCATAGAAATGCATACACACAGTATTTTCCACCAAGTTGGAGAACCAGCTTACGTAGCCATGTTTCTCCAGAATTCAGACTAAGACTAATATTTGTTAGTGATTAATGCTTATGAGAGACATCTCAGGTAATGTATTGATGCCCAAACTGTTTCCTTCCATCTCATCTTGGCAGTGGCACCAACAACCTCTGCGGCCCCGCTGGGCAAAGAGGTGTGTGCTTCTGCACTCCTGGTGGCCCTCCCCTCAGAGTCACCAGAAACGTGTAGCATGGTGCTCCAGCAACATTTAAAGAGCCTGGGATTCCAGTAGCAGCAGTGGTGGCCGGGAGTCTCAGGCCCCTTTAAATAGCTAGGCCCTAGGGCAACTGCCTCCTTTGCTCCCCCTTGTTAATGGGCCTGTCAGTTGGTTTGATCTCTCCTTTGGAATCAGCTTTCAGAACCTCCTTAGCTATAACACGTGGAGAATTTCACCACTGCTTGCTCCTGTACAACTTGCTTCCTCCTCCTGGTACACATATTATGACTCCAGACATCTGGGTGTCTCACAATTGTCCTTACTACCAGTGAGCAGCACTTCCACCAAACTCCAGAGGCCTGTTCACTAACACCAGAGAGAGCAGCACCACCACTTTAACAGTAATGTATTCATTATACATTTCACTTAATGGAGAACAAAAGTTCATCCCTTTTCTAGTGATTACGATGTATGATTCATGAAACACAATTCACGCAATTATCTAAATATATACCTACATAGATCCAAGTATATATATATGATACAAAGTTACCTGTATAGTACACACATAAATGAACAAAATGCCAAAATAAAAAAAATAGAAAGCCACTTGGCTTGGCACTGCAACACAAAAATAGTTCATGGATCAAGTTTACTTGAAATGGCTAGTAATTCTAGATATCTTCCTTTTTAAATGTCCAATTTCTGACAGCATACAGGAATCTGATTTTTCATAAATGTTCATTATTTTTTCCCCTAAAATCAGGCTCTCTTAAGATGTTTCTAGTTTCACACCCCAAAACTGAAACACCCAAAGTCACTGGTCATATTTTAAAACACTGGCCTTCTATTTTCATAGCCACATTAACCATGCTGTCTTGGTATTATCTCTGTTAAACTGTATATTTAATTGCATAAACTGCATGTACAAGACCGTTTTAGATCACAAACAACGTGGAAGTATATTCATACCCACACCCACTTGAACTTGAGTAACAACAACTGTAACAAGGAATGTGCACTCTGGAAAAGTGTGGATAACAGCATTACAATGATTAATTCCCTAAAACATTCATTGGGAGCTCAAACTCACATAGCCGGCAATCAGTCCATAAAGCCACCAATTGTCTGACTCCTGGCATTGTCTGTATAAGAATGTAAAACCATATTTATATCCAACAAAAGAAGATTATTAGCTAAAGTTGCACGGTGATGATTCAGAAAGTGCCAGATGGAATACAAAAAGGACAGCCAAGTGACTAAAGACCGAGGCTATTAATTACCTTAGACTCTCTAATTATAGGTAAACAGTCAACTAGGCGCTTTATACACACAGCTGGCATTTGCTGTTATCAGACACATTTTTTTATAGAGCTGTGATTACTAATATGCTTTACTGATGCTTTTTGTTAAGGCTAGATCAGAATGCTTCCACTGGATATTTCCCATAAATTCTGACCCTGTTGTTCCCCGTAAGCTTTGAGCAGTGTTCCCCGTAAGCTTTGCGCTTGTACAACTGCTCAGAAGAATTCAGATGCCACCCAACTGATTAGCAGACCACTCACATGTAGGTTTTTTATTGGTGGTGCACATTTGCACATGCCTCAGTGCACATCAAAATGTATTCTGCACACGAATAGAAAAAATCCATACGTGGCTGGAAAAGATGAGCAGGAACTATGCTATCGAGTCATGTGCTTGAATTACTCAGATTACGTTTTGTACGTGAAAATTCTACCTCTCTATTATCCCACTTCTTAATTAATCTTTATGGCCAATTCTATCACCCTTTCAAGAGCTTCTTAATTTCAAGACTTCTGTGAGGATGAAGTTCACTGAGCTTTAAACTAAATTTTTACATAATCATCCTTCCCCTTTTCTTCTGTGCTTCTCTGGTATCTGGCAGAAGCCACAAGTCAGGCTGGTTACCACTGAGCAATTTTAGATTGCACAATAAGAGCTGTAAATTAGAGTGTGTGACCAACTCTATTCTTCAACTAGACAAGAAGTGTCATCCCAGATGTGTGTTCATTTTTTCCCTTTCCAGGACATCCGACCCTGACAATGCTCTATGCTGAAAATTTGAGTGAAGGTAACATTTTCAAAAGTACATAAGTGACTGAAAATGTCACCTAGATGCTTTTGAAAATTTTACTCTTGACTTCCCCTGCTATCAGGAAGCACTGAGTATTTTAATCACAGGTCTGCGTGACTGAGAAATTTCCTCTACAAGCATAAATACTACATGGCTGTGGGAGCTAACAAGGCTTTTGCACTGAACCATGGAAACACTCAGGTTCCTGAGATAAACTGCAATGTAATATACGGTGCCCCTTACCAGCGAGCACTGGCTGTGGAAAAGGGCAATCGCATGTTACTGATTCAGCCTGTAGGAGGCTCTTTACTACCATAAGGGTTTTATTAACCAGAACCAATGAATGGAAACTGACCCACCCAAAGAGGAATCAAAATGGTTAATAAAAAAAGTAGTTCCGTGTCAGGTTTTAATGTGAACAAATCAAAACAAAAAGTTCCTACCCAAAAAAGGAAGAATTCCCAAGTAGAGAAATATGATGATTACAGTTTGATCACAACAGTGCTCGGTTCGATAAGTAGAGAACTTGCCTGTGCTATCTCCCCCCATTTCCCTTTCACTATTCCAACTTCAGGGATCCACCGCTCAAAATACATTTCTTCCTATATTTAAAAAGAACTTTGGAATTAGGAAATGGCCATGAAATGCCAGTACACTCGCTTCATCTTTCCTTCCCCTTCGTGCCAGAAAGCAAGAGTAAGAGAGTCACGCACAGTGTAATACAGACACTGGCATTCATAAGTGTGCAAATTAGAAAGAAAATCAGCCAACAGTATTTGTGCCCTTTAGAAGTCAAGATGGTGCATAGCAAAGAGAACAAGGCAATATCTAGGGAATGATATGTAGAATCATAGAACACTAGAACCGGAAGGAACCTCAAGAGCCATCAAGCTCAGTCCCCTGCCTTCATGGCAGGACCAAGCACCATCTAGATCATCCCTGATAGATGTTTATCTAATCTTCTCTTAAATATCTCCAATAATGGAGGTTCTACAACTTTCCTAGGCAATTTATTCCAGTGTTTAACCACCCTGATAGTTAGGACGTTTTTCCTAATGTCCAACTTAAACCTGCCTTGCTGCAGTTTAAGCCCATTGCTTCTTGGCCTATCATCAGATGTTAAAGACAATAATTCTTCTCCCTCCTCCTTATAACAACACCCTTTTAGGTACTTGAAAGCTACTGACATGTTCCTTCTCAGTCTTTTCTTTTCCAAACTAAACTAACTCAACTCTTTCAGTCTTATTCATAGGTCATGTTTTCTAAACCTTTAATTATTTTTGTTGCTCTTCTATGGACCTTCTCCGATTTGTCCACATCTTTCCTGAAAAGTGGTGCCCAGAACTGGACATAATACTCTAGTTGAGGCACAGAGTAAAGCAGAAGATTGACTTATCATGTCTTGCTCACAACTCTCCTGTTAATGCATCCCAGAATCATGCTTGCTTGCTTTTTTTGGGGCGGGGAGAGGGGTGGGACACAACCATGTCATACTGTTGACTCATATTTAGCTTGTGGTTCACTATGGCCCCTAGATCTCTTTCTGCAGTACTCCTTCCTAGACAGTCACTTTCCATTTTTTGTGTGTGACACTGATTGTTCCTAGTATGTGGAGCATTTTTAGTTTGTCCATATTGAACTTCATCCTATTTAATGCAGACCATTTCTTGTTTGTCTAGATCATTTTGAATTACCGTATTTTCCGGCATATAAGATGACTGGGCGTATAAGACCACCCCCTAATTTTCCAGTTAAAACATAGGTTTTGGCCTATACTCGCCGTATAAGACTACCCCCCCTTCCGAGGCAACACCATTTAATAACATCAGATTTGATTTATCGTACTTGCGCGCCCGGGGCCCGGCGCTCCCCGCGCCCGGTGCCAGCCCCGAGCACTGTGTTGGGGACCAGTATCAGCACAGGTACGTTCTATATCCGGCGTATAAGATGACCCCCGATTTTTGGGGGATGTTTTTTAGTGTAAAAAGTCGTGTTATACCCCGGAAAATACGGTACTCGCCACAGGCGAACAGATTGTATAATTTGTTGAGCCCTGTGCATTACATTTATAAGATGTAGATGTTAAGCACGCCAAGCGCCGCGTGCCCGGCGCTCCCCCCGCCGGTGCTCACCGTGCGCCATGTGCCCGGGGCC